TGACGTGGTTATTGTTCACCAAGTATTATTTACAGTAAATGCTACTATTTTTACATTAATAATACATGAATTACATAGCAGTGGTTCAATGCCATATGCCTTCAGATGCCTAAATATCCCTCTGTAGGTTATAAGTTACTGTACCTTGTTCAATTCTTTAATTTAATTTTTAAGTCCAATACACTGTATTGAATACAGTATCTCTAAAAAATTGACATAAAATTTATTGATTTGATATTTGTATTGAGCATACAATTTGACAACCAATTGATCCAAGAATTTATAATTTGAAAATTTTCAAAAAAAAATGTTTGATATTACTGTATAGTATTGTAGTGTATAAGTTATACAGTATAACACTTTAAGCTATAAAAATGAACCTCTTTCTCAAACCATTTCCTCAACAACTATTAACTTAGTATTTGTATAAAATGTTGATTTAGTGTTGATTTGGTAGTAATAAGTTTTGATACAATTGGCAGATAAACAGTGAAATGTTGACTTCGGAAGAGGACGTCTATGCGGCGGGAGATGTGTGTAGTGTTGGATGGGATACGAGTGACCTGTGGTTTCAAATGAGACTCTGGACTCAAGCCCGACAGATGGGAATATACGCGGCCTTATGTATGGCTTCACATATCAACCATACGAGTCCTGAATTGTATTTTAACTTTGATTTGTTTGCACACATGACTCGCTTTTTCGGATATAAAGTTGTTTTGTTAGGTGTATATAACGGGCAAAAAGTGGACACTAATGAGTGCCAGACACTGGTGCGAGTTGTGCCCGAACAACAGTTTGTCAAAGTAGTGCTCAGAAATGGCAAAATGATTGGCGCTATTCTTATCGGACAAACAGATCTCGAGGAAACATTTGAGAACTTGATTCTCAATCAAATCGATTTGAGCTCATTTGGAGACCATTTGCTCGACAATACTGTCGATATTGAAGACTATTTTGATTAAAGTCCACTCCAAACCACTTAAACCACTCATTAATTATTTATCAATTTTGTGATTTAGTTTACTTTAATTGTATTTAAATGTCGTTTTCATATACAGTATAAATAAACCAACATGCTTATTGAATTACAGGTACAATTGTGAGTTACAATGAAACTATTGATAATATTAGTCTAGGTGAGTTATGTTGGACAAATGGCTATATTTGATTGATGTAGCCGTATATCAAATTGTGAATCTTTTTAGCACTTAATTTAATATAATGTATGGCATATAAGTTCACAAAACTAAGTGTACTGTGATTTCCGTTATGATTATATGAGTACCGAATACTGATATAAATTTCCAAAATTTAACTTATTTTATAATTTCATTCATATAAATATCAATGTTATATAAAAAGTAATTATATTTTAGTTAATTATTAACACATTTTATTAAAGACTTATTTCACATAAACTCTACATTTATTGATATTTGAAAAAATATAAATTCAATTCGTTTTAATTATAGTTGAAATAAAATCAGAATTTTGAGAGTTTATTCATTTGTAGTAATAATAGTAATAATAATAATAATCAAAAATGAAGTGTTATTTGCAGTGAATTACTTTTTGTTGGGTTTGGGAGCGATGGGCTGTCCCTTGTCTTTGCCCCTGAGCTTCACTCCGAGCGCTCTCTCGAGTTTGTTGATCACCTGTTGGTTGGGAATAGCTTTGCCGGACTCGTACTCATTGACGACCTGTGGCTTCTCGCATATCTTAGTGGCCAAATCCTTTTGGGTGATCCCCAGCTGTTGGCGCGCCTGTTGTATGAGTCGCGACACATCCGTCCCGACGGTGTTGTGATGCAGTTCTTCGGTCTCGCGATCGAGTTTCGTGGTGTTCATGGAAGTGGAGGCGTGTTTGTTGGTGGCCGCGTTGTACTTCTTGGACGTCTCGATAGGGATGCCCTGCTTTTGTGCCGCATTGATCGCCGCCGCAGTCTTCATGGCCGACGCTTTCGGCGCTCTCTTCCGCAGAACAGTCACCTGATCCCAGTCTGAAGACATCTATACCAAGTAGTAATAGTACTCGAGCTATGAATGTGCATACAATGTAGTCGAATAATAATAATTGCAATTACGACCATTCAATCAATACAAGTATTACAATCACACCAAACAACAAACCATACGTCCTTCACATACAACGTTACACCAAACGTGTCCACATTGTTGTCCACATTGTTGCCCACTATTGTATCGCTCCATCAAATATTCTATACTGTAATCTATATTAATAGACATACTGTAATCAGAGATTTTCATCAAAGGTAGATATAAGACCCAAATCGTCACTATTATATAATAGTTATGAAAAACACCTCCAAATAGTTACTTAAATAGTTGCACACATCTTAAAACTCCTTGATTTAAAAGTTTATTACATTAAATATAGTACCTATTTTACTTATATTTAACTAACTTAATAAATAATTTATGCTGTGAGAACTCCCAAGTGAATTCAACTTTATAATAATTCTAATACAGTTCCAGTTTTGAACATTTGATAATAAGTAAGTGTGGGAGTGCTTCGGATTCGAGCATTAGATTCCAGATACTGTATATACTATATAGACTATATAATATAGTATTAAACATTAAACAAGGATATGGTGTCAAATGTATAGAAATATACAACACATAAAAGATAAATTTGAGAGGGATTTTCATTTACATTCCAACAACACATCCATACAAAGACATCGAGGAATAGTTTACCACACTTTCCTTCACATTATCATTCATACATCCAATTCCCAGAACTCCAAACACACACAAAGTTCACACCTATGTGTTAACCAACACCACATCAGCTCAAATTCCCAGAATTTGCCACATTTCAACACATGTCATTACACATTCAAGACATCCATCACATCATGTTTTTTAAATCTCAATCATACATAACATTAATTAGAATTTACCATAAACACATATAATCATTGTATAAAACAATAACTTTTCACACATACCATGTTCATTGGGAAAACCCTATGCACTCATTCACAATATGTAAACTTAATACTTATGCACTCACACACCACAATAACTCATGTATTAAGGTACCATTCATTCATTTCAATAAAACACTTCAGTTGAATTTCACCCACAAACACGGTCTCCCATTCATTCACTTTCATTTTTCATTCTACCCGAGAGAGTCCTGCTTTTGATAAGCACGTGACCCGAGGTCTCATACTTTCCCACTTTACCCACTCTCTCACCCGACCGTCCATAAGTCCATACATCCACCCATTCATACATGCAAAGCCACCAATCAATCATTCAAAACACAGCATTCACAGCCATTCATTCACTCCATACCCGCCCGACTCAACTCACACATACACCTCACCCGACGGTAAGACCTGATCGTCCACTGATTCTGGTCCCACAACTACCGTTCCGTACGGTTCGTCTCCCCATCTGGTGTTCCCCATCACACACTCGCGCGCTCACACCTCTACACCCACCACCCATTCACTGACACTTTAGCCGCTGGATCAGCTCCCCATCAAATCCCAAACTTTTCCATCACACGAGCTGTTCCTCTCATCATAATCTTTCGATTCACAAATTTTCGAGAACTTTCCAGACATAGTTTTCGAGATATCACCCTTCAAAGTCGAAACACATTCATTCATAGCGCGCGCCCTCTCTGAACACCTAACCTCAACACAAGAACCGTCACAAATTAATTTGAATTAAATTAAAATTTTATTGTAAAAATGATGGGACAATCTGTACATCCAATACATGTTCCAACGTTTGTAAAGCTATTATACAACTCTCTTGTTTGCGACAAACAATTATAATTA